GCAGTTTCTTCTTTTTTCTTTTCATCTTAAAATTCAAATAATAACTTCCTCTACTTGTAGCATTACACTATTGAGACTATCACTTTTTCAGAGTTGATATTTTTATTGTTGTACAAGTTTTTAACAATATGATCCTAAACTTTTTATTATTTCATATAACCTTAAGTTGCTATCGTTTGTAATTAACAAATGCTTATATATAGACGTTTTAAATTTAAGGAAGTATGATTAGTGTAAAATTTTTATAATTAATTTTTTTGATTGTCATCTTTTTAATTATTAATATTTTAGAAAATTGGTCAACAAAATACATGTCCAATGTGTGCTTAACCTGTACCTTGTTTTTACTTTGTCACCTTTTTTAAATATTTATCTAATATTTATTCTTTTATGTAAACTCTTCTCTTCGATTGATACTAAAAATTTCTTTTCAAAAATCTGTTTTATGACTTGATTAAATAGGGTAAAGTATTGGTATTACATAATACCGATAAATAACTTAAATTATAAAAACACTTGTGTGTCTCATGCATCTGAAAATTGTAACTTTGATGTATTTTTTTTTCCAAAACTTGTGAAGTATTGACTGCATTTGCTTTATCAACTACTGACAATTAATGTGATACGTTTAATGAAAAACAAAGCAAAACCTTTACATAAAATCGAACGTGAGCAAATGTGGCGAAATTACAAAAATTTAGCGAGATTTGCTCGGAACTAAGCTCAATCTCGCGCGCAGAAAGTTCGGTAAAACAATCGTTAGTAATTGTGCCTAGATGATTTTTCATAAAATTGTATTCTATGGGATCAAAATCGTTTTCTTCTCGGTGGAAGAAGGACTGTGTTAAAGGATAATTCGTACAATGTGAAAGGCTATAATCAGTTAAGGCCAGAATCTGCATTTCAAAATGCAAGCGGAACGATGTTCGGAATTATTCTGGTGTATCGCACAATCCAGAATTTGCGCGGACTATCATTTTCTTAAAAGTTAAACTAACAATCACCATATCCGCACAGTATCTATTTATTATATTCTATACTAAACTATTCTATACTATTATATACTTTATATAAATATTATACTATTATTATCTATACAATCGTTTTAATGGAAAAATTCGTAGTTGCTTATAAGCTAGAACGAAGTTAAAAAGTTCTAAACTTCGAAAATTTCAAAAAGCAACATGATTAAAGTTATGCAGTCGATGCTGAAACATCTTGTAATCATTGCAAAATTTCATGTACCTATTGTAGAGCACTATTATTATCTATCTGTGCTATAGTGTGTGTTCTATACACGCTAACGAATAACTTATATTATAAATATCTATACATATACATACATATATGAAGATACATTATCTATACACTATGTTATTCTTACTAAACTTTTTGCTATGTATTCTTTCCAACCTTTTATTGAACTCGTTTTTGAAAGTCATCGTATGATCAACTTAGAGAACTTTCAAAAACTTAGTTAAGTACAATTTTAATTAATTTTTTTAAACTTCAAATGTATTCAAGGAATGAACATGAAATTGTAAAAAGTAACAATTTTGAAGAACGCTTCGCGATGAAAACATAATGATGGGTATTCTTGTCATGGCCTAGATGAAATATTTATATAACCGTGAAATAATTGTAATTCTTACGGTATATATTTTATAAAGTATCATCTCCGAGTACTTCATATACTTGAAAAGAAACTCGAATTTTGCGTTATAGTATACATTCCCTGTACGTAACTATTTATCATTTTAATTCAAAATAATTTTCATGTTACATTGTATATTTTAAAATGAAAAAATAATAAGATTAATTATGTTTGGAAATAAAAAATTGTATTGATTGTCTATTCAAAATGACTTTTATGAAAGAAGATTTTACAACTCGATACCGTGGTTCTTAAAAATTGAAATTATTTTACTGATAAAATCGTGTATTACAAAAAATACAAAATTTTTTTTACTCTCATGTTTTGTCTCTTAGATTGTATTTTTGCATCTGCATGAAACTCTGCCAGCTACATCTCATACTATTGCTCACTCTCAATCAATCGATCAATCAATCTCTTCATTTTTCTTCTATTTTTTAGTTATTTTACTTTACTCATTCTCTTTGTTAAAAAATGGAAGGAAATAATTCAAATTCTGCTATAAACTCTTTTCTTACTTGATCTGTATCATATCTATAGAATGCAAATATAATGCAGTTTTTTTAAGTACTCAAATGTACACGATATGTAAGATTAGGTAAAAAAGAGGGACGTTTATTTATCATAGCCAATTGTTATTATTACTAATGATTATTAAAACATCTAAAGATAATTGATGTGTTACTGAGATATGTAATATATAGTTAAAAAAACTACTAGGTTATTAAATGTTTTAGATTTAAAACGGACGCTAACATATTTCCTAAGTGTTTTCACGTCCGTCATAGGACAAAACTAAGAGTTCGGAAATAATTCCGATGGTTCACGTTATTTTCACAAGTTGATAATAAATTTAGTTTTAAAATATCAAATAGGTTTCGTAAAAATCATTCCTACTTTTTTCAATTAAAATGTATGATAAGAAAATGATATTATATCATACCCCGTCACTGAAAATACTTCATTGCAAGAAATTTTCATCGAATCGATCATTTATGTATGAAAATTTATGATACTCGTGAAAAACTAACTGAGGGTATATTTTTTCATTGAATAGTTTTTTAAAAAAATACGAATTTAATAGGTCGTAAGAAAATTTACTTTTTTCGATATTTTTAAAATGGTTATCTCAAATTTTTTTTAAAGACTCAATTACATTGAATTATTAATTTGCAATTAATAATTTTTCATATAAAGTTTAAAAACTGCATGAGCTGCTATAGAATAATCTTAGACAATTAAACTGAACATCTTAAAATTAAATTAAGTCATAAATTTCATTATTGACGTGGTATTAACTATTAGTTTATTATCTAGTGATACGGGTGATATAAAAAAACTACGACCATTATTATAACATTTATTCATTAAAATTCAAATGCCATCTAAGTGTTTAACTAAGGAAAACAAGTATATTAAAGTAATTCATCTTAAACAAGTTACTTAGTATTGTCTTTCATTTCATTTAATTCATACGTAAAAAGAAATTTTAAATTGAGCTCCAAAAAAAGACGAAAATAAAATAAATTGCATATTTTAAAACTAAGGGGTATTTCCGATTTACTTTTCACGATAAAAGATTTTTATAAAAGAAGATGGAACGCAGTCAATTTATAGTATTATATTATATAATATATAATAATTAAATATGATAAATAATTTTAAGAATATTACAAATATTTACAAAAAGTCGTTGAATCCTTTTTTCAAAATTGTTATCGTATGAAATGAAAATTCAAATAAAATGGAAAAATTTCGTTATAGATACTTTCTTCATGATTAATGGATTCATTGAATCTCATATAAAAATATTTCTAAAATACTGTTTCTTATAGTGCATTTCACTGTTCAAAGTGTTCGTAACGTAAGGTTTTTGCAAAATTATGAAAAAAACAATTGGATTTATGTTTGGCTAGATAGCAAATTTTTAAACTTAGCAAAAACAGCAAGACTTTGAAATAACATCGTGTAACGGAACGTTTCTTGTGAAACAAAGATAGTCTATGTTCGAAAAATAATGATTAATTATCAAGTAAGCACACGTGAATGATTGATCTCAGAGCTCAATGTATCATATGATGCCTATGACAAGTTGACAATTTTTAAAATATTCATAATATCAACTTTTCACAAGGTAACCAATTATTTGAATTTTCATTAATGAAAATATTACTTTAAAAATTATATGTATCCGGTTCGGTGACAACCTTCTGAGTTCTCCGATTTTTTTTAAACAAAACTATGTAATTGGAAATATAAGAAAATTCATTGGATACAATTCATACGTTTCATAAATTTTTAAATTTATAAATTGTTTAGAAGTACTAAAAATATCCATTGCTGCCGAAAGTGATATATTAAATCTTGGTGAACTCCAACCTATTAATATCAAATAAAATGTAGGTGCCGAAAAATTTATAGTTAAATAAAAGTGTAAAATCATGTTAGAGTATGAAAAAATAGGAAAGTATATTAATGAGAATGTATAAAAGACAAATCAAATTTATCGACAGAAAAAGTGGACGTTATTCATTTCGTTAGTAAAGTGAAAATAAATAAAATATATAATAATTATAAAATTTTAGCATATATTGCCTATTACATATATGTATATATATTTATACAAATATATATACATAATTATTAAGGTAAATAAAAAAGAGTAAATCGTCATCAAGCGATGAAAATATTATGGATCAAATAGGTGGGCATATATAATTCAAACGACTGAAATAAATTTATGACTCGTGCCATGAAACTAAAAATCAAAAATTGTTTGGTCAAATCATTTTAAAACAAATATGATCACTATCAACACTATCTCACATCTCATGAAAGTGATGATCATTGAACTTCTTGATGAAAATCTGATAAATCCTCAGAGATGAAATAACGCAACATTTATAAATGTAAACTGATTGTTTCGAGACTTTAATTTTTCTACTACCATTAAAAGATTTTATGATTATAAACAAATTATTATATTTTTTAGCTATCAATGTCAAAGTATTTTAAAAAATTAGTTGGTAAAAAATATATATGCCTCGCGAATGATTCGTACTGTATGAAAGTGTAAATTATTTATTAGAATCTTTTGAAGATTTGAACTATAAAAATTTTATTATTTCAAAGTAAGTATAGAAGTATATAGAAACTATGAATAATATAATATATAGATGAAACGTGTGAAGTAGATAAAATTCGAAATATAAATATGATGGATTATTAACATGTAGAATTATACATACTGGAAAATCTTTCAATAAAAAGTAATTAATTATATTGAAGATATGATATTCTGATGTTCTCTAATCAAATAAGAAATTTCACGTATTTAATAACCATTTTTTTATTTTAAAACTTATCATTATGCCTATAATTGGCATACATACTAATTAATTTATTATTATTTACTCAAATATGTTTTAAAATTTAGAAAGCGATTGAATGAACAATAAATCTTAGTTAATCAAATTATTTTAAGTTCTTAATAGTTAAATATTTTAAAAAAGTTATTTGGAGATTGAGATTGAGGAGGAGGAGCAGCAAAAGTGTTTTGAAATGCTGAAAAAACAAATTGTAAAAAATATAATGCAGGTGGTACTTGATAAATTACAGTTGGACCACCACCCACGGCAGGGATTATTGCAGTTGCAGGTACGTGATGATGACCTCTGAACAAATTTTCAGCATCTTCGGATATTTTTAGAGTGTTTTCCCATTTTTGCGAGATTTCTGTGAAAAATCAACTGTCATTAGCTTATTTTGCTACCCATTATGAAAATTTGATCTTTAAAAACTTGAAAAATGTTCATGAACATTAAAATTATTCTAAATGATGGTGGTTTTAAAAAAATGTTCAATTGAAAAATTATGAAACATAAATATAGATTTAAAATTTATTAGACTCTGCTTTACACTTAAAAAATACACAACTTATTATAAAAAGTTTATTAATTATATATACTAGTTACTTTTTAAAATTTTGAAAACTATTTTAACTAAAGATAGGGGTTCTTTTTTCCATCTAAATTATTCTGTCTTGGTAAGTAATCTATTCATTAGAAACTTTATCATAAAGTTCATAATTTTTTCCTACAATCATTATTTTTACGAATTCACAGAGAAAAATTATAATTGATTAGTCAATTATTAAATTTGAAAATTTTTATGAATTAATCAACAACTTATGTATAAAAAACTTTTCATTTACATGAAATTGGTGAATGAAGTATATCAATGAAACAATCTTGATTGATTATTTTAAGATCGCTTACTTGATTCTAAATTTCTCAATTTATTCGTTCATTTTATAAATAAACGTAATGAAAAGCAGAGTTTGCTAGAGCTGATGGTAATATGAACGGGAGTCCATTTGATAATGCGATGTGCGAAACTGGCACTGGAATAGGATATTCACTAGTCCTGTACGAATTTGGATTTAATTCATTTATTATTGGGTCATTAATATCCACAATTTTTAAAGTTGTACTTGCAGGGGTTAAACCTAAAATAATTTAAAATTATTTAGGAGGTACTTCAATATGAATATCATCTTACATTAGTGAAAAATTTGAAATAAATGATAAATATTATGGTTAATTAGAAAGAAAATCGTGTACGTATTATCGCCTGATTAGTCAAATCCGTAAGAAATATTTATTTATGAAAACAATATTTATTTACGAATATTACTTACTTTTATGGTTTTATAGACTTGAATTTTATTTTTTAATTTAAAAATAGAATTTCTATAACATCATCTTTTTCACTTTGCAGTTCTTTTATATTGACAAAAATCTTCAGGTTTATACCACATATTTTTTAAATTAGAAATGTATTAAAATCATGGTAGCAAAGTATTGGTCCAGTCGCTCGAAAACGTATAGTTTGAGAGGGGTTAAACATTTAAGAGAAATTGAAGCATTATGCAACGGCGATTACTGCATTGAATTTTTATAATAAAAATTGAATAATTTTTGAGATTGATAAAAGAATAAAAAGTAATTAATCCTTAATTTCGAAGTTTATCACTTTGATAACTTTTTTTGACGTTAAATAACTTTTAAAAGAAAAGATAAAAAAGCAAAAATTGAAATAACATTGAAAAATAAGGTTTTATTTTCTTTTAATTATCGTTTGATATTGAAAATGAATTTTTGATAAATCTAAAAAAATTAAATTACCTGATCGTACTATAGGAATCCCATCATGATGATTGATTTTGTCACCTTGCAATTTTGTCAATTCGGAGTTCTAAAAATTTATCATTTGAAAATGTTTGAATTTTTAATGAAAAATTAAATTTGAGTACACTGATTACTAACAACTCTTTTTGATATATCATTTTGTTTTTCATTGTCAGCAGCTGTAACTTGAGGTTTTTCTGCGCTTTCTGCTGCAAGTTTAGCTGCGGTTTTGTAAGCTTGAAAATGTGCTTCACGAGCTGCAACAACTTCAGGTGTATCAGTAACTGGTACATGTAAATTTGGAGGTAATGTATCAATGGGTTGATTCAAATTGCTACGTGAAGCTATTCCCTGATTCTGTGATGAAATCTTCAAACCACCAATTGCTACATTCTTATTAATATCAGCTTGAGTAATTTTTGAAAAATTGAAGTAATTAATTAAAAAAGTACTAATATACTTTAATTTTTGTATTTGGTCAAAATAATACTAACTTGAAAGTATCGGTGAATCTTTTTTTTCTTCGTTCAATTCTTTAGATTTTAAGTTGGTTTTCGAATGTTCATTTATGGACAGCGATCTATGATTGTTTTCACGTCTTTGTACTTCATCAAGTAATTGCAAATGAAACTCTCGAGCAGCTAATACTTCAGGAGTATCTTGAATTGGTAGGGGAGCCTCAGGTAAATTTGAAGCTCTGACACGAAAACCTAAATTATCCCCAGCTTCGTATTCGGCGGTTTGAACTAAACCATTTTGGTCGACGTAACTGTACCTCCCACGTGTAACTCCATCGGCACCTCGATGCTCGGAACGAATTGCTGATGGTCCTTTATAAGCAAAACTATACTGCCCAAGATTATTTTGGTAGTTTAGATGAGATGGTTTCGCGTTACAAATGGATATCAAGACACCAAGAAAAAACTGAAACAGTAATTTTCATTAATTTGACAGAACTCCTCGAGACTATTCTTTAAAAATTTATTATACTTTATTTTTGATATTATGTCTAACTGTTCTTGATACTTAGTTCAATTTTCAAGTATTTTACAACATGAAAATTCTCTAAAACTTTGCTTAGTATTTATTATTTTCAAGCACTAATTTGTACGAACTAAATAATCAAATACGTTGTATTAAATGAAAGTATCAAAATTTGGGTAAATATTAAAAAAATAAAAATGAAGAATGTATTTATTGTTTGATTTTTTAATTGTTAAAGATGTTTTCACTTCAATTCACATCAATTTATAATTATATAAATATTTTATTATAAATAAACTTCAAATAACATACTATCTTTATTACTCCCATGATGCTGTTTGGACCGTTTAGTTTTATAACTGAAGCACAAGTATACGTAGTGAATCTCACTGCAGACTTTATATATGCGACGCCCCTACTACTTACAATGGTAAACTGCTATCCTTCTTCGGATCGTTATTTGTCATTGATGTTGCAGAGCTTTTTCCTCCCTGCATTGTGTGTCGAACTTTTAGCGAATGAAATTGCAGCGAGTGAAGTTTTATTCTCGCTCCATTTCAAGGTTGGCATGCAGGTAAACCGGTGTACTCGGCGACTCCTCTATGTTTCTTTCTTGCGCTGCCGATTTTTCTACGCACAGGATGAGACGAAGATTCCTTTAATACGCTCAAGGTTATTATACGCTGATTCGCTTTTCTTGTAAGAAAAGCATGCACAAAAAATGTTTGCATTTAATAAATAATTATTGATTTATTATTTCTTTTTGAGGTAGATAATTACGATTTTAATTTGTATGAATTACTTAATAAAAATAACAAAAACAAACAATAAAATTTTTATAAAAATATTTATGAAAATATCTTTAAATAACGATAAAAATATAACTTATGTGATTCATATGTTAATGTATAACTGGTCAATAGAAATTTTAAAACATATAGTTTTATTTGATGCTATATTTGATGTTACATTTCTTCAAGATCGTCAAATGAAATTCTATACTTTCAAGTTCTTGTTAAAATAAGGACAATTATTTAATTTGAACGATATATTATATTACACATATGAAAAATGATATCTAAAATAATGTTGTTCAGTCATGAGATATTTATGAAATATGAAGATAAATAAGTATTTTCTAATTGATGAAGTATAGATTTTCTTTTAATCGTTTAATAGTGTACAAGGCCAAATAATGTTCCCTCGAAGTTGTTCATAAATGAAAATCGTATATAATTTCAGGAAATAATTTATGATCTGATGAGTTTCTAACCACTGGTTGGATGATATTAATTAAATGATTGGTGAATTTTCAAAAAATTTTACTCGATTAAAGTTAATTTAATATGCGATTGATTTTGAATAATTTTATATTCCATTAATATAGAAATTGCTTGAATTAAAATAATTGGATTTTGAAAATTTCATATAAATGATAAACATAATACACTTTTGAGAAAAGTTTTGTAGACAGTAATTTAGTTGTTTTGAAATGGTGTAGCAGTGATGCTAATTATATTAAAGGTAAAATGAAAAAAACTGACAAATAAAAGGTATAAAAATTATTATTTCTAAGTAAACAAGTAGACATTATACTAAAAGTTGCCTTCCTCAAAATTCAGATAAAAATTTCAGATAACAATAAGTAAAAACAAATTTTTGAATATGCAAAATTCATATTAATTATTTTTCGGAATGCCAAAGATATTATGCCATTTATAATTAATTGACTTTTTGATATCTTAATACAATTTAAGCGTAAACAGCGTTTCTCGTGGCTTCTTTAGCATGAGTAAGTTGTTCGTTGATGTGAGCAGCGGCATGAGCTGCTTTGGCTGCGGCGACTTCGGGTGTGTCCAGAGGACGTCCGTCAGTGGCGAGCAAAGTGGCGTGGCTGGCAATGGGCAAAGCTGCTGGGAGAGGTGCAGCATAGGCAAGTGGAGCAGCATGAACTACAGGAAGAGCTGCTGGTGCAGCGTAGACAGGTGCAGCTGCTGGGTAGATGAAATCGGCAGAACGAAGAACCTCGGCGTTGTGGTTTAATTTTTCATTGATATGAGCAGCGGCGTGAGCTGCTTTTGCGAGAGATACCTCGGGTGTATCTACAACTCGCCCATCGAGGCCAATCTATCATTGATACAATAAAAGTTTAGATTAGTTTCATCCTTTCATCCTCATTGAGACTAAATAATTTGAAAGGCAAGAAATAATATAACAAAAGAAATAATAATAATTTCATAATAAAACCCAAAAAGGGAAAAGTCCGTTTGTTTAATTGAATTAGTCGATTAAACGAAAATCAAAGAAATATATTCCTTACTGGTGCGCCAGGTAAAACGATGTTGTAAGCCAACAAGCCTGGCTTAGCCATGGCTACGGCGAGAAGGCCAGAGAGAACAACGAACAATTTCATTTTTCAACTTGTTTTGGGTGACTGGAGTGTGCTACGCTTTGACAGGCTAGTCTTCGTCTGATGGACTAGGCTACGAATCCCGCCTTTTTATACTCAACGAAAGGCACGAAAATTGAGCCTGAGAGAGTGGAGGAGCAAACCCTTTCATGTGGACTATCGACAGGAATGAGAGAGCATCCGCCTCGCGGGCATATCTTAGCTATGTACTCTGCTTCTTGTGTACAAGAGTGGCAAAGAAATTAAAGCGCCGGCAAGGTCAGCTCGCGCAGTACTTACTGTACCTACCGCGTCGCGTGTATAAGGGAAGTTACATTTACTGCACTGTTTCAATTCTTTTGTTCTTTCGATGCACACACGTGAATGTCAAAGAAAGTAACGTTTATAGTTTAACTTCATTTGCATTAAAAATACTATTGAATATCAGAGCTCAAGTTTTATATGTAGATCACCTTGAAAGTGTTATTGCGTGAAAATTTAGGGTTGCATAAATATTTTTATTTTTTCCCTAGCTGTAATACTTGTATCGTGAAGAATAACCATTATTGCTTACAAATACCTTATCATTCATCAAAAATTTAGCTCAGTCAAAAAATGCTTTAAATATTCTTATTATCTTAATATTTACCTTTATTTCTTAAAAATAACGTATCGAAAAATATTATCTTCTGCTGTAAGATAATGAGATTCTAATAACAAAAAATTAATCATGCACTAGTGCGAGTGCTTTTGTGTACCAATTGATAACTCCGTGTGAATTTTTTTATTGGCATTAAACGATTTGTGTATCACGTTCATAGGGTTGGCATGAAAAATTTGATTTACGGATGAAGTACTCTTGTGGTATTAAGTTTTCCAGGTGATGAAAAAAATTATTGAAAAAATGAATGACATCATAAATGTCAAAAAAAGCCACGACACGTGAAGGTACACACACATAATATCATTGAAACTCTACTTTGTCGTATAGAGTATAGGAGAGAATGTGAGCAGCCATAGGCGTAAATTGATCCAAACTGAATCTCGCAGTTCTAGCGTACCGAGATATATCGTAATAGAATATTAAGACTTTTCAGAACATAGTTATGTATAGATTACGCATGGAGCATGAAAATCTATAGCGCATCAATGTCAAGTATCGGGTTCGAACGAGTGAGCTCTCGCTCGTTGTTTCCTGATGTGTGATCTTTCTAACCATGATCGAGACACTGCGTCCGAGAGCCAATTTTTTCGTCAACCGACCTATTTAAATAGGCGCATTGAACATTTTCCTTTAGTCCGTTCAAGAGTTTGGTTCACTGCTTTACCGAGAGCTCTTAATTGAATTCAAAATGAATTACATCGTTAGTATATCGAGAGTTTTCATAATTCCTCAGTGCTGATGGGTAGTCAAAACTTTATTGAAATTTCACAGGTGTTGCTGTCAGCCGTGCTTGGATGCGCCATGGCTCGCCCTCAAGTCCTCCAACTTGCACCTCTGTCGCAGTTGGAAACTTCGGCTTCGGCTTTGGCCGCTGCCTCGGCGTCTTCGTCTCAGCCTCAGCTCTCTTTGTTGCAGCTGCTGCAGAGAGCTCCCCTGAGTGCCGACGGTCGCGTCCTTGACACACTCGAGGTCAGTACATTTTTTCACACTTGTTACACAATCGAATTTAATTGGACACACCTGAGTCTGTTACATTAGGCAATGCTTTGTTTCGCGATTCAAGTGTTGATTTTAATCGATTTAAATTAAAATTTTTGGCAAAACTAACTTAGCTCAATTTTTCTATAATGAAATTTTAATTCAGCAGATTTTGCATGTGAAATTATAAGGATTATAAGATTTGTTTTCAATGAACTATGTATGCAGGTGAGACTAGCTAAAGCCGAGCATGAAGCTGCTCACCAACGCGCCAGAGCCAACCTGGTCAATGCTCGTGCTTTGGGTCTTGCTGCGCCTCTCACTAGCTCGTCGGTTTCGGCTCAGTCCAGTGCCTCAGCCTCGTCGAGCCGAACACCCTCTCCTCTTACCGTCAATACTCTGGAAAACGACCTTGTAAGGGCCGCTCTTGGACTCGAACGTCGTGAACCTCTCAGACTCACCAACGAATCTGTTCAAGTACGTAAAACTTTCAAAGCTTTAATTAATTTGTAAAAAAAATTATATGCTTTAAACAAATCGAATTATAACATATGCTTCGATATCACAATGATGATTGGCTTTTCTAATCTTTAAACAGCGGGTGCCTCTTGATTTACTGGTGGAAGATGACCTAATCAGACTCATCAATGATCAACCATTGAGTAAAGGGGCATCAAACGTAGAGAAAAATATTGAAGATTTGTTGAGAATCAGATCGCTGAACAAACGCTGCACGTGCGGTTGAATGCTTTTTTTGGCACTTTAGACGAATATGACTCGTTTATTTGACTAAGTGGTGTACTCATTTAAATGGACGATATAAACAATAAAATATTTCTGCTATTCTAATAAACTCAATAGTCCACTTGTTTATTTTTGTCAGAAAATTATCTTGTTTCTTTTTGTTGCTTAAACAGTACAATGCTTGGAATCAATAAACAATTCATTTTCGAATTATACTAAAAACGTCTCGTCAATTTCCATCAGTCGCAGGTACAAAGCCAAACGCAGCAACAGCAACAGCAACAACAGCAGCGTGTGGCCGACGCAAGCTCCCTGTTGGACGCAACCCGCCTTGCTCAGAGGATCGCCAGTCTGACTCCGCTAGGCGTATCTGGCACGTCTCGCGCTCAGATCGTCGAGAGCATCGCCAGACAGCAGCAACAGCAGGAGCAGGCCCAGCGTCAGACCCAGATTATCCTGACCCGCGACGCCCAGCTCGAGCCCCGTGCCCCCCTGCGACTCGTCAACACTGTTGATGGACTCGTTTTGGTTTAAATTTTTTACTTAACCTTAATCACTATACGAAAAAAATTTATCGAATTTTTCAGAATGTAATTTAGTAGTTTGCAATCTTAGACGAAAATACTCTTTTCTTCATAATCGGTTGAACGCAAAAAAATACACTTACCTAAAAAAAGCAATGGCACAGAGAAACTATTGAAAGTTTTAATTTTTTCTAGAGAATATCAGTTTGTCTAATTATTTTCAATGAATAAAATTATTTGATTCTATATTCACAGATTTGATTTCATTAAAATCTGCTTTAAATAAAATTGAACCTTGTCGGAGATTCATATACTAGATAAATATTTTTCTCTCCGATAAATTTATGCAAGAAATTGCTCAAAACTGTTTGATCGAGTGAAACATCGGTCATCATTAAATAAATACCCAGTTCACAATGTATCTCAATTATCAAAAATAATCTTCGCGATTTCAGCGCATTCGTACGAATGAACGCGATCATTCAGCTTCTACTAATCAGTAAAATAAGTGAATAATTAAATTGAATGCGAGCATAAAAAAAAGGAAAGTATTAACAAGACTAAGACAAATTACGTAAATCATAGACATATTGCGTCCGAAGTTTGCATATATTACTTGTAAACAGCTCTACACGCAGCAATTTCAAGTCTGCGGATAAGTATCATTGTCTAGAAAGTCAGACAGACGTGTTTCGTTTATTATTTGTAAGTATATAGGCAACGCTCTGAATGAATTTATCTACAATAAAAATTATGAATAGCAAAAAACGTTCGATAATTATATCAGGTCAAATGTGTATGCTTTTGTAGGATAGAATCCGAATCCAGTGAATAAATTTTCATGCAGTCAAGAATAAAAAAATGTTTAAAGTCTATTGGAAAATTATCCTTTTTCTTACGTGTTGTATAATTAATCTAACACAGCTAATGACAGGTTAAAATTATTTAATAATTTTTAAAACTTATATCTGGTACAACGTTTCAAAAACAAACATTTTAATTTGAATAAGTTAAAATTAGAATTTAAAGTATGTTTTACATGGTGAATCTGCGTAAACATTGATTCAAATTATTGATATAATTTTGAATTAATTTGTTGTCGTATATCAAACATCACACGAGAGTCTCGTCACGTGTTTGGAATATGGTTACATTAAAGATTCATTGCCGATAATATCGAAAACATAAAAAGTCATGTCAATGCGAACATTCACATTTTTTGGTAGAGACAAAAAGCAACGGCATTTGTACTATTACATGTTAACATTACGAAAATCAGATGATGATTACGCTTTCATTCAGCTCTGATGAAAATGATATATGTATCGGGAGCAGCTCTAACTTCATAATACATTACATTGTGAATGTGCATTTGCATTTAAGAGATTGACTTGATACGATAAAATAACACACACACTACTACTAATATTACTACTTTATGCTGACTAACCTACCGATAAGAGATTTTTTAAGAACAAAATGCAAAGCAAGATTTTTACAAAAGAAAAAATGGATTTGATTAATATCGAGGCATACACCAGTCGTTTTTTATTTTATATTTTTTTAGTTTTTTGTTCTTTACAATTGAGTGTATAAAATAAATTTTTCCAGTGTCGTTCATTATTTTTTTTGTGCTTTATCAAGAAGTAGTATAAGTACAATATCATTTGGTCCGAGTATCAAGGTAAATTTTATTTAACCGGAAATCAAGCACAGAAACTGTATCAAATTTAAATGTTTGTCGAACGAGGAACGATTTTCAATAATTTGCATCATTCCATTATGTGATATCGTTAAAGGAAATTTTCATTGAGGTCAATCGACAATCTGAACACACACACACACGTCCAACCTTTCATTTTGATTTTCAATCCCTATTTCACAATAAGGCGCGCGCATTGTTTATCCGCAGCATGTGCGGATACGATGTAAATGTGCCTTATACAAGACATCAAAGCGTCATTTCGTAAACTCCGAATATCTTGGCAAGAGGCACGCAACCGAAAATACGCGCGAATGTGGGAGAAGGACATACTTACGCATATATATGAAAGCATGTATGAGTGTGTGTGTGCTGATGCGTGTATGCACTCGCCGCGCTGAAAAGCTGAGCCTTAATTTTTGTCATATCATAATTTTATAAGCAATGTATACTAGGCGGCTACACGGAGAGCGCCTGAAACAAAATTCTGTCGAAATCGTGGTGCGCTCGCAACTCGACAAATGTGCATTATATATGTCGCCCGAGCGGCAAGTCGAGCTGACCCCGATACATTCTTTCGGGCTCGCGCGCGCGCGCGCGTATAATTGATTGTGTTGCATGAAAAGGGACAGCGTATAGCTCGCAGGGTGGCGGCGTTGGCAACGCACACGACGTCGATGAATCAATCGCATATTATATTTTAATACGGTGGCTGGATATATTATGCGCGTGGGCCTTTTTTTTCATCGGGCGGGCAGCGGACGCGTTTCCGCGCGAGGCATCCATTTGTCAGGATCGGAAACGATCGATCGGTTCGCAGCCATATAGGCATGAGCGCACTGCACACGCGTCGATCTATAAGACTCTCACGTGCATGCGTATATACGTGCACACGTGAATACAATATAGGTGTATTATACGCAGTACGCGGAGAACACGCGAATGTCTCTCTTTTGTGGTTGCGGCGCAGTGCGAGTGAGTGTGTGTGCGGTGCGCGCGCGAGAGAGCAAATCGCACGCCTCTCGCGAGAGCAGGCCGCGGTCGCAAGACAAAGGATCGCGGGCGCGGCTACTTCATATACCATGTATATATATGTATACCATTTATGCGCCTGCCACGCGCGTAGGTACTGTTGCGGCCCGAGATATACTTACTTACACACATTAATCGACGACACGCTTATCGAGAGACTCGAGGGAGCCAATATATACGCCGCTATACACGTACGTACATAATACAAGCCTGAGCAGATAAGTCAGCGTGTATATTATGCGTCATTTGGCTCTGGGTAAGAGCACATTATTACCTAAGAGCTGCTGCTGCTGCTGTTGTTGCTACCGCCCATGAGTGCTGCCCAATGCAAAGAAGTCATGCGTGAAAGAGCGCCACATTGGAGTGAATTTGCTCGCTCGAGCTCGGGTAGTTGTTGTTGAAGAAATTGACTTTGATCTTCAAGCTCGCGTACATGTACCAAAACAATATCAGAAGCGATCGGTAAAGGTCACGAGAAAGGCCTGACACGACACAGATATATGATCGCTCCAAACCTTTTGATCCGAGACTCATTGATGCGTCGTCCGATTGATGAATCGAGAATTACGCTCGCGCGCGGCACTTTGAGAGCCGTTGCTGTAATCGATGTACACATCGGATACATTGATGCAGTTCTCAATAGGTACAGTAGTACTGTGCGAGTTTCGATAATTATGACAAGACACGACACACTTGCTATTGATTAATCGGCCATTACGTAAAAGCAAAACAATAATACACTCCTGAGCCCGCGTGTATAATGAGAGCGAGTCGAGAGGCAACGGGTCGCGCTCGAAAGTGGCTTTTGCCTAATTTTTGCCAAACAATTAAACGCCCCATTGAAAGAGCTAAAAAAAAGTGTCGAAAGAGCGCCTTGGTCTCCCGATGCAAGCGCGCGCGTGAGCGAGCGAGAGAGTGACTGGATAAATTTAACGAGAATCGGCCTGTTTGTCTGTGAGCGCTGTGTACTTTATACATACGGCGAATATTACACTGCGACGCGTGTATTTGCGGCGCGATGGTGAAAAGTCGCCGCGTGTTTGTCGAGCACAAATACATGTATAAGAAAGGACAGGCTGGCTACTCTCATTGTAACGAATGCAGCATCTATCTATGCACACACGAGGACAGAGATAGAAATTACATAAGGGTTAAAGTACAACTGTTACACAAATGCTTATGCTCGCTACGGTGTGGCTCGATGCTTATGAAGTGTGTCTTGTATACGTACATATATGTAGGTGCGAGGGAGAAAGCGTTGCGTCGGAATGCAAGTTTGTGTGTTACCCGCAGGAGCAGTGCCGATCGCGCGCGAGCATGTATAACGCGCGTATGTATGAATGTGTGTGTGTGTGTGCAGTCCGCGCATACGTATATCGCCAAGTAGTATTGTTCACATTGGGTTCGAGGCATAATAAGTCTTCGATATTATGAAGCAGGGGCCGCCACGCGTTACGAAGGATTCACTTGAATGTACCTCGTAATGAACTCTCGCGCGCGCCCGAGTCGCTTTTTTTTCGTAAATTACTCCATTGCTCGAGTGTAATTTATAGCTTGGCAAATAATTAATCGTAAAGATTTCATAAAACGAGCTCTGAAACGCATACACACACTCACACACTTGGGTACGATTTTGTAACACCTGGGAGGAATTTTTTCGGTTAAACAAGCAACGTCCCACCCACTCGAGTACGGGCGCGCGATGGCGATGTTGTTTATGTTATTTGCCATATCGAAGACACACACACACACACACACATACACATGGGAGCGCATTGATATGCAAGACACACAGGTGATCGTTGCAGCAGTGGTATATATATATAAATGTGCATGTTGGAGCGCGCGCTCGAGTGTGCGCTCGATCCTGCCCAACGATTGCCTTATATATGGAAGCAGTTTGGGCAGCTGCGTATATGCATCGCGGCCGCTGAAACGCCGCATATAATGACTTATATACGCGCACCGGTTTCGAATAATCGTTATTGCTACTGCTGCTGCTGCTGCACAGATCCTCCGCGCGGCACGCACAGCAAACGATCGACGAAGCGCAGAAAAAGTATGTGCTGCGCCAGATAACGTAAAAAAGGAAAGCAAAGGATGGCGCGTAATTTTAAAAATAAATCCACGGAGCGGAGTCACGATTCGCGCGCGCGAGATCGCGGCGTGTATGCAGGAGCGTGCGCACGGTCAACGACGCCAGGCGACCTTGCCGTGAAAAATGTCGTCTCTCGTTTCTCGCGCTGTCTTTCTCTCGCTGTGTTATATGTATACGTATCGAGTGCAGCAGCAGCAGCAGCAGATCGTGTTGTGGAACTTACGTGTACTTTTCGCATTATATCCATGTAAATGCACGCAAAAAGTCGTGTGGCATCAACGACTTATAGGAAGCTGTAAATACGACGTCGACGTGTTTATGTCTTTCTTTTTTTTCCTTTTTCCTTTTTTTTTTTATATACATATTATTGCACACCGGTTGGAGCGTAATAACGGACATTTTGCTCGTATCACCGCAAACCTTAAGTAATTCGATTTTGATCTATTTTTGCAACATTAAATTTACAAGGTTTTCAACTATTCAAGATGATTTTTTCTCCATCACGCCCTGCCAAAGCTTATTATCCGTATTTTGCGATTTTACGAAATAATTATGCAAAATGTTGGGGTTTCTATTCCACTTGAAATGATGAAATTCTTCAATACGAACGGTGAATTGTATACTGAAGTACATAAACATTCCTTTGAATATGTTATTGATTTTCACTTGCAAATAACACGTATGCTCACCGCACTGCCTAAAACTTATGTAAATAGTCAATTTTACTCTTGATATCAAGTGTTATTCAATTAAAGTAGCCATAAACTAATACTTTGGAAAATGAACAGTAAACATTTTTTTAAAAATGACTGCTAAAAATTCATCCTTAGGTATTGATTTCAGAGAAACAATTTTATATTTTATTCTGTTATTGTTATCGGGACTTTAAAAATGGCATGATTTTTTTGTCTCGAAGAAGAAGGAAGCTATTGAAAAGTCACGCGGATTTAAACATGCCGAGAGGTACACAAGTTGTCCTTCGTTTGTGTGCTCGCATTGCAGGAGACCCACAGTCCTTCGTATGCCATGCTGCATTTCTCTTCTTAAGGCTTCAGGGCTACATACATTATTCCTATACGTACTCCCGCAAGTATTGTGTGCTTTCCCAAGCTCGCCTTCCATTTTTTTTGTATTTTGTATTTTTTGTTTTTTTGCGGCAGATCCTGATACGATCGAGCTCGTTTATAATAATGATTAACCAACCTCGTATATGGATATTCATTCACGAAAATGTATTTTCGTCCGTTACTTCGCAAAATTACTTAAAGCTACTTTTAGTTTTTCCATCGATGATGAAATATTCTTAAAAATTAGAATCAGACTATAGAAATAGAAAATTCTAAATCATTTTAGAAGGATTTTATAACAAGATTACAAGTATACGATAACAAAAATGTATCATTTACATTACAGTGTATTTATCGTGAGCTGTGAATCACGTGAATAATATTCATGCAGCTGTTGAAAATTACCTGCATAAAACATTATTCATGGTCTTAAATATATTTCCTACTTATTTTTTTTTTCTTTCATTTTTTTCTCTCGAACATAACCATATTAGTCGGGCTATTTCCAAATGTAGTTCGCGCATATCATGTAATTCATTTTCATACCAAAAGTATCTCAGGGAGTTAATTACTTATTCAGTGTGACCTTTGAAAAGTATTTCGCACGTTCTTTGACAGCATAGAATTACTTTTGTTGCCTGTCAGTAGCTATAACATTCACTTTACTCTTGTTCCTGATACGTTTAATTCTCAATAACGCTAATGGATCACGTGTTTGCTAACACGATGCATTTTACGATGTGAATTATTGCAAAATTATCTTGTTGTGAAGAGACGAAGATTCGTTCAGAGTACAATAACATTTACCTTTAAAAAAAAAAAATTCTGAAAACTAATAGTTACATTTTTTCACATTATTAATATTGAGAAAAGTTGATAAAAAAAGAAACATTTGAACAATTTGATTGCACGCAAGAAAAAAAATTTTCTGATAATTTTTTTTCTTATTTTAGATTTATATTGAAGATAATCGAATAATGAATCAGAAAAATGTTAATTCTTGAAAATCAAAAAAAATTTTATTGAGGTACAAGTAAATATTAAATGGGTAACGTAAACTATTGAAGAGTAAGGGGTTTGCTCTACTTCAAAAATGTATCATATAAAAAATACTCTAAATTTCAATCTCAACATTTTTGTACGTGTTCTTCAATACCTCTAGTTTTGATAAGTGCAATACAAATAAATTATTTTTCAACCCCTCTAAGCATCTCCTCAAAAAATGCTTAAATTATCTAAAGTCTGAAAACATCGCGGAAAAGCAACTACATCAATCAGTTGTACGAAAACTTTAGCTCAATATAACAATGAATTTTTCACTTTCACAAGTTTACAAAGTCGAGATTGCAACAATATAATTTATCAACGTAATGCATTAAGTGTATGGTAATTAGTTGCTCAATAACGCGTAGCCGAGCTATCCCAGGGTCAACGATCAAGTTTGATATCGAAATTAGATATTTGAGCTGAGATTTTTCTGTAAATGCTACTCTAGCGCAGAACATGCTTGACTATTTCCAATGCAGAAACATCGAGTTCAATCATTGTTAAGTAAGTTATCACTACTTTAAGCTTATGGTAGCATGACCTGGGGTAATAAATAAAGGACTGAACATCGTACAAATGTCGATATATTATGAGTATTAGATTATTCACTATTAATTAATAAATTTTTAATGGTAGATTGATGAAGAAATTTTTTGATGACGTATAAAGATTTTCTTTAGTCTTAAATGATGCATTTAAGTTTTGTTTAAAATCTGTTAATTCTCTACTCATTAAAGTTTAAGCGAGATCTGATTAGTGCATGAGATACGTAATATCACGTGGAAACGTAGCCTGCAATATATATATTCTTCCCAGCTCCATTCACTACACCTAATTTGATGTAATTTGTCGGGTTCGTTACGTGCGACACTGAACCATGGAAATAACTGAGCAGGAAAGCTAATTCAAGTAAATCTGAATTCTCGTCAAACCAAATATTGCACAAGCCGATTTTGCACTCGTGTATTGAAATTAATATGAAATAAAAGAGCTAAACGCATCAAAAATATTTAAATGCAAAAGATAAAATATTCATAAAAAATAAAATTTGAAAATATTCCAACAGTCGAAAATCAAGATTTAATTTAAATCATACGCATAAAGCTATGAGCACAATAAAGACCATAGTTCTTTGTTAGCGTCATGCAAGCAAATAAAACCACAAGAACGTAATTTTTTCATTTTATTCGTCCTTTACTTGTCATTTCTTTTATCAAGAGCTCGAGGGTCAAGTTTTGCTAATAATCGGCCGAATCAAAAGTATATTTCCGCGAGTCAGTACATAAAAGCATAAAAAAGGAGCTCCTGTTATTTAAGTTCTCTATGAGCTAAGGTTCTCGTATGAAATAAAACGCACAGAAGAAAATGGTATACACGATGGGAGTCCTGGTAACAGAAGGAAGTGTCAAGGTTGCAAGGCCGCGACAACACGAAGGCAATCAAGTGAAAAGGAGAGAACATCGGTATACGTGTGCACACAAAAGTGGCCAAGGGGAAGGGATATCATGAGCAAAGCACATCAACCATATGGAACAGTGAAAGACGATGGTGGGTACAGCAGCACCCGTCCACGCGTTGGCTCGTGGGCACTGCACGGGGGTGCGAGAGTCGCCGAGTAGCGGAATACGCTGCTGCGCCGCGCCGCCGCCGATCTCTCGCCGCGGGGGAAGGGGGACACGAGTCGGGCGCTCACCGGTACATTATAAATGGGACTCCCCACGTCCACGAGCCACTACAAGCGGCGCAGCAGCGTACCCAGCGACCGAGTGCAAAAGCCCAAAATATCTGGATATAGCGTGGAGAGGAGACACGACAAACTTGGCTTTCTATTCCTTTTTTGAGAAAAAGGAAAGGCGAAAAGCAGAAAGAAGATTTTCGACAGAAAAAAAAGCTAAAAGGATCAACATGAAATACGTATTGGTGAGTAAATTTTGACACTTTTTTTACACTACACACTTTCGACCATCGGAATAAGTCCGAGAAATATTTTATCTTTGGTAGACCGGTGATTTTACATGTATTCACAATCAGAGCAACTGATAAAACACAATACTTCGTAAGTCACGAGATTTTTAAACAAAGAAAAGTGAAAGGTTAACTTGAAGCTCGATATGCATATACAACACGCACATCGAACAGATACACATGCACTTTATATATATATTTAAATATATATCTATGTATATATTTATATACATAATACACCGAAGTACAAGGGGGTCACATGTTCATACATAATAGAATACTAGGCGCGCCCGAAGTTTTTGCTCTCTCTCCCTCTCGTGAAAGAGAAATAGAGATAGAGAAAAAGAGTCACAAATACACACACAGACGGACAGATTGCGCGTTAGTAAGTGTTTTACGGAGAATAGATAAATATGCATTATACAAAGCATTGCGGATCATTTTTCAGATGTATTTTACGACACTGGTTCCGTCAAAGCTACCCACGTGTGCGCGAGCTTGTTTTCTCTTTTGCGCGTGTATCTTGTACATTTATACTCAGCTATCCTTTTGCAATTATGTAATTTGTATTGCGCGCGCGCGCGAGCTCGCAAATATGTTAATCCCGGAAATCGATCGAACAAAAAGTCTTACTAGGTTCCGAGGAAAAATCAAGAAAATTGACTCTGTGGCAGCCTTTTGAGCTTACAGCACCGCATAGATATATGTGTTAGAGCCTCAAGGGAAAAATGATGCAACACGACATCGTGTGTACCGCACACTGTACGCACTCTTTGTGGACGTTTGTGGGATAGTCTGACGTAACAATGGGGCATTAATTCAGCTACGAAGTACTCTATAATTTACGCGCTTTTTGTAATTTCAAATGCATGTCCGGCACACATGCACTGAGAGCTAATTTTTTTTTTCGTGTATTTCGACCGACAAGATACCGACTATACATGCCAAAACATTATACGCACCAAGGTCTACATTTGTATAATTTTGTGTACAGGTGCCACATAATAATAATTGGGACGTTTATAATTAGCACTTGCTTCCCGAATCATACGTTGGAGGCGTATTATGTATCATGGGCATATCGTTTTAAGAGTTTACATTTGCAATCAGATGACTTAAGCGCTCGTGAGTGTGGGTGTGTCTGTGCGTGTACAGCACGTAACACAAAATTCGATAGTATAACAAATCATTCAGCAAAGATTACTCGTAACTAAGGTGGAGGGGGGCCATAAGGGGGCCGCAGCTTTTACTTTGTGTACATTGATGCATGTCTATAATCTAAGGCGTAACTCTAAAAAAAGTTCAGTTATGCATTTTCCTCTCGACAACGTATCAAGTGCACACACAAGTGTACCCCGAGTGCATTAATTATAATTTAGACCATTTTCTCAAAGTTATTAACATATCGAAATTCGCTCTTTATGCAATGTCTCCGTAAGGCAACTTGCGACTTCGACACTCGTGACTCGCGGGTATTCGATATATGATTACATATACGGGTTTCACATAAACCACTTCTATTGTAGTGACAATTCTTTTGCTTGAAAAATGATACGAGACGAGATAAAAACTCTCATGATTGATGAAACGAAATAAACGGGCGTAGCAAATGTATATACATGGATGCTTGATCGAATCGAATTCCAGGTATAATGGCAATGCAACCACTGGCTTTTATCCGCATATTGCACAGAGGCAAGGTTCCGATCTACAAATATCTTGGTCGTTCAAGATATTACCAAAAGATTACATGCATGATTTAAAGAAAAAATGATATCGGTTTTAAAGGGCAGATATCAGGTATAACGTGAGAGGCACAAATAATAAATAACTAATTGAACTTTCTTTTCTTTGATTATAATATGTTGAAATAAAAAATTAGCCGATGCTTTTTTATAAATTTTAACTGCAATTACTTAGAATTAAAAGCTATAGTGTAAGCAACGTAACAATAATTGAGCTTACCTTACGTCAGATTAACTTGCAAAATAATTTCATGCATTTATATTATAGTTAAAGTATTAACGCTTTTATCATGTATACATAAAAAGAGAAGGTTAATTGAATGTATATAATACTGACTTATAGTTGAACAAGCTTGGGGAGAGAAAGGTAGTGTGGAATTTTTTGTTTCCGGTAATCACACGTATTGCATGTCTAATAGCACTTGTGAATTACACAGCGTATTACACACAACAATGTTATGAAGTTGCTAAACACGTATAAACACAATTGATCTGAGCTTAAAGCAGACTCATAAGTAAATATAATAACAACAGTACACTATTATTTTTTCAAATTTAAAAAAACGTCAGAGAAGTAATTAAAATCGTTATTGTCAGATTCTCCTCTCCTGCGCCGTTGCTGCGAGTCAGGCGCAATTCCCGCATCATCAATTTGCGTCCAACGGACCGGTGCAGCAGGCTTACAATAGCGCACCCCCGGCGCCAATCGGCTCTGACGGCTCGGTCGTGGACACGCCCGAGGTCGCCCAGGCCAAAGCCGAGCACTTCGCCGAGTACGCTCGCGCCGCTGCCCGCGCCGCCGAGGACAAGTCGCCGGATAACGGTGCCTACCATCAGCAACCCCAGTACAGCTCGCAACCCGGACCCGGAGTGCGCCAGGCCTTCGCCTATCACGGCCGGTCGCCCGCCCAGCACCAGTACTCCCATGCCGCCCCCGCTCCGGTAGTGCAGTACCAGCAGCAGCCGACCTACCAGCATGCTCAGCCGTCGCCCGCCTACCAGCAGCAGGCTCACTTCGGGCCCGAGGCCAAGGCCTACCAGATCTCCGCTGGAGCCAAAGCGCCCTTCCAACCCGCCCCCTTGGCCGCCGATGGTACCGTAGTAGACACCCCCGAAGTCGCTGCTCTCAAGCAGGCCAGACTCCAGGAACTCGCTGATGCCGAAGCTCGTGCTGCTCGTTACGGAAACGACGAATACTCCGCTGACAATTCAGGTAGGTTATTTTTTTAAGGACTGATATTTCGTAATATGATACATTAATGCGAGCTACCTAATGATAATCAGAAGTAGAACTCATAATATTTCATGCGGTATTAGTATTGTCATCTCACAATTCATTCTTTCATCTTTCGCAAGAAAATTTTTTAAATCGTGAAAGAATACAAATAACACTTAGCCTCGTTTGTTTTCATCAAAAAACAATTTTAATCGGTTACTTAAATCGTGAAAACTTATAATCACACGCTGAAATTGAACAATGAATCATACGTCACACAATTTGCAGGCGTAACTATGGTATGCAAGATTGTAAACCAGTTATTAATCTACTATTATTAAATTTTAATGTTCTTCTGAAACATGTAATAATTTACAAAGTATCTTACAATACCAATCTGCGATCGAAAGAAAACTTCTAAGCTGCTAAATATGTTAACAATTTAGTATAAACAATTTGGATAAAACTTCACCTAAATAATTTTTAAATGATTCTATTGTTGTTTTGAATTAAATTTTTCCGATATTTATCTGATAGTTATACATCATTGAACATTCAATCAAAAATAAGAAACAAAATTATATAACTCGAATCACGCTAGTTCGATAGTTTGAGCTGAAGGCTTCGCAAATTTTAAGTTTAACGAAAAATCATTTTTCGAAACGTTCAAGAGACAGTTTTATTTAATTTGTATCAATCACTGTTAAAGGCAAAAATAAATTGAAATACCATCATTTATTTTCAGAACAATACAATCCCGCTCAGTACCAGTCTGCTGCGCCAATCCCAAGGCCATCTTACCCTGGAGCACCTAGTGGCGCACCACAGACTGCTTACCAAGCTCAACCAGGTTTTCCATCTGGATTACCAGCCAGTGCTTTCTCTGGAACCGGTCGGGCTTATCAGCCATCGTCTCCAATCTACCAAACTCAGCCTCAGGCTTTCGCCCAACAAAATTATCAACAGCCCCAGAGCTACCAGAGCCAGTACTAATTAAGTACTAAAAACATCGAATAAGCGACGATCTCTGTTAAAGCGCCTTAATTATTGGCGGATCATCTTTACCATTACATGCGATAATCACACTGTACATAAATATAGGTCGATAATAAAATTTTTTCACTTATTTTGTTTATTCTCAATTTAAACATTAAGTATCTCCTTATCATTATATTAGGATTTCTCTTTATTTGGTGAATTATTATATGCAAGTGATAACGTAATATAGAACGTGTCTTAATTTAATATTATATTTCTGTAAAAATGTATATTTACTTTTTACAAAAAGAAACCAATTCGTTATGGAACTTATTTAACCAAGTTTTAAATCAAGATAAATTTATGATCGTTCAAAGTAACTTTTATTTAACTGATTTTAGAGCATATGCATGTAACTGATGGTATTTTTATTTTTTATTGTCTTCAATGACAATTTTAAATTTTAAAAAACTCGCGTGTCTTGTTAAAGAAGTATTTGAATGTTTTTGAAAATTTCTTCGATTATATTAAATGAAAATAGGGAAATTTAAGAAATTTGGGACATATCTCACACTGGTGTAGCCAACATTCATATCTGTTTGCACTCGAGCTTACGTAGCTGGTAAGCGTTCGCACACTGTAGGCAAAAACGCATTTTGGGAACATGTTGCATAAATAATTGATATCATAAAAACGATCCTTTACTTTCAAAAAAACGATTTATTGAAAAATTGCTTGGACTTTTGGGCATCTTTTCAACAAATTTTATTGGTCAACTGTGTGCATGCATGACTTAATATGACTTTTTGAAGAGAGGATACGTATGACATGAATGGAAGAACTGAAGAATGTAAGTTGAAAAAAGATAAGGCAAAAAAAAAAAATTAAAATCAAAATTGAGTTTCAATTTTTCCGAATAAATTTTTATTTAAATTTTAAAATTCAAAGAATTACAAATTTTTTCATTATAATCTGGATCTGAATCATCTTCTTTAATATCGCCATCGATGTTGTCCGTTTCAAAATCAATTTCATCTTCTAGTCTGGGTTTTGTTGACGGGAGGAAGAAGTTTCTCTTGTTAAAACGATAAAAATGTATGTGGATCGTTTTTTTATCATCAAGTCTTTTTTTAAATTCCCCATCAACTATTCCCAGATAAGCGGTCTTAAAGTCAAAATAGTAGTTTTCGATACAAGGGAAAAGTGTCCCCTATGCCCGAGTATCGAACAACACTTTATAGTACTATGCAAAGTTCACATTTATGCCCCCTTTTCCGATGCATAAGTCACACTTTTTGGTAACGCGAAGTGAGGTTAACGCGAGAGTGCATTCGAGTGTGATGCGAACGATTCGATTATAATTAGTATTGAAACATCAAAACAATCTTGAAAGATGTACTTGTAATTATTAGGTACATATACAACAATTACAAAGATAATTCATTAAAATATTGAAATATCGAAATAATTATCAAAGATGCATTATATGCATATTGTTTACTCATAAACCATGAAACAAATCTTAATCACTGGTTATTTTATTATCACAATTATACGTTCGTACATATGCATGCAGACTTTAAGTACGAATTATCCCCCCCGTTTTTTTTTCAAAAATTTTTCTGCTGGATTTGGAAAGAATTTTTCCGGCAATTATTTTACATTTTTCCGCCAAATTTGGAAATTTTTTCCCCGCCAAAATTTGAAATTTTTTCCCGCCAAAATTTGAAATTTTCCCGCCAAAATTCAAAAAAATTTTCCCGCCAAATTTTGAAATTTTCCCGCCAAAATTCAAATTTTTTCCCGCCAAAATTTGAAATTTTCCCGCCAAAAATTTTTTCCCGCCAAAATTT